TGCCTTTTATGGGCCCGGGTTGAAGAACCCCTAAAGCCTCAACCTTAAACCCGAAACTCGAAACTTTCCCCCCCGTAAACCCTACATTTTAGACCCCTAAACCTTAAACCTTAAACCCTCATCCTTCGACCCTAAATGTTCAAGCCTAAACATTCCTAACCTTTAAAGCCAAAAGGTAGAAGTGCTGGCCTTCAGCTTGCCACCACGGATCCCCTTAGGTTCGGCACTTGTACTCGCGATTTAGGCTTTAGGAATTGGGGTGCAAGCTGAAACCATCAAACTAGGAAAACATGTTGTTGGGCGTTTACATATCACTTTGCAAACAGGTTGTCGCAGACCCTATTTGGAGGTTGTAGCGCAATCAACCCCAAATCTTAAACCTCAATGCTGTATACCTTCTTTCACCTTGCAAGGCCATCCAGTAAACCGGAACAAGCTTCCGGGCAAAAATGAGAAGTAGCTCTTAAGGCTTGCCGAGGGCCATCTTTCCACAAGGTGGCATATTAAATTCATTTAAGGCTTGCCGAGGGCCATCTTTCCACAAGGTTGCATATTAAATTCATGGGTTGCCCTACCGCCCCATGTTAGTCCCCCCCTTTTGTTCCTTCGATTCAGTGGGAACTTGGCAAACATACCCATCAGTCTGAGAAGTGCCTGCCCCTAGGGGTCCAAGCATCCAGATAGGATATACTCAGGTCAGCCTTAAAGTATTTTTACAGGAACTCCTTCGAGTCCAAATGTTATGCAATTGTCGGGGCTTCCACCTCCAAGCCCGAAACCTTCATCCCTAAACCTTCAACCTTAAACCGCATTAACAGGGGGCCCGCAGTTCAGACCCCCCATATTATGCAATCCACATTACAGGGCTGCCAGAAAGCGGATCCTCATTTTTGCAAACATTATAGACGGCTCCAAACCCCAATCCTTAAATCTTACACGCCAGATATCTATATAATCCATACTTATCCCCATCGATCCCTTACATTCTTGCACCCGTACAGTACTTGGAAATGGCAACACGCCTCGCAGATTGGAGTGGTTGTAAGCTCCGATTCGGCGGGTGCTTGGCCCACCTCCGTGCGAGGGTTTAAGGAACAGGGTGTAGGGTTGACGGTTCAGAGCTGAGGGTTGGAATTTGAAGGATGCATTGAACCAAACAAAAGAGGTACTCAGTTGCACAGAAGGTCCAGAAGAGGCTAGTAAGGGTTTAGGGTTTAGGAGTAGTGTTTTTGAATGGGGGAATGGAAGTCCCAATGCAAGGTAAAATTACTCTAAGGAAGGTTCGGGTGGGTTGGTAGCTTCCCCATATAAGCCTTACTGTACATGGCCCTTATATAGTTTGGGTGCCCCATATAAGCTTTACATAAGCTGTTCTAAAGGATACCCACCTGGTAACTACCGCATGGAAGCTCCCTTAAATTGTGTCTCCCTTTGCGTGGTGTTATTGCCTTTCAGAGAATCTGAGATTACTTGGACAAAGCACGGAAGACCAGCTGCTCAATTGTCTCCCAGTTCCAGGAGTACTTCATAAGTTATGCCCTCATCTAAACCTTACACCTTGGAACCAAAGCCCATAGTCCTAGGTCCTAAGCTCTTAACCCTAAGCCCTAAGCCCTGAACCCTTAAACCCCAAGGAAATTTCCCCTTTGTTCCCGGGGCTTGCTCGGAGGTTGCGGGATGGTAGGCCGCAGACGGTCCTCTTCTGGCTTAAAGTTTAGGGTTTAGGTACCCACTAGAGCGGTACATGGGTGTTAGGGAGTATACAGGGGGCATTTTGGGATTGCTATAGTTACCTGAACCTCCAAGTACCTCAAGCAGGATGACATGAAGAGCTGCAATTCACGCCTATAAGCCTTAAACAGGGTGTAGAGTTTAGGGCTTTGGGTTTAGGGTTAAACACACTTGGGGCAGACCTGCTCTCCCACTTCTTCATGCCCGCACCTGAACCCTAAGCTCAACAAAATTGTTTACGGTAGAATTTGCAGTAGACTTTCTTGAAGCCACTCATTCCTCTTTTGGGTGATAAGGGCCAATGAAATTTACGGTCTTTTCCCATTATAAACGTTGGGTGTTGCCCCCACTCACCGCACCTGGATAATGTTTATACTATATGACTCCCCTGTTTGATTGTTTAGGGTTTAGGCTTTTCGTGTTTAGGGACCCTAAGAACTTGGCAAGTAGCATTTACAAGGTTATCATGAGGCCAACCCCAACTAGGGAGTTGTGGAGCCATTTGGGTAAACCCTAAACCCTAAACCGGAGACCCGTTACCTTAAGATGAACCTGATTCCGCGCCTCCGCAGCTGGTTTTAGGGCAGTAGGGGCGAAGTACCAAAATCACAGCTTCACTCACCAAAACAGACTATGTGCGCGAGGTATTCACATTGACCTCCAAAAGTTCTTGTGAACAAAGCTAACTGCGCAGATGATGCCCAAAGTTTCAGCCTGACACTGACTAAACTCAAGCCCTACTTGGGGGGTCAGGGGGACTTTGTAAGTAGGTTAATAAGGGGGATAATTAGAGTCACTATATGAGTCATTGGGGTTATTCGCCTACTTACTAAGTCACCCTGACCCTCCAAGTAAACCCTAAATTGCGTGCCAGTTTGTAGCAGATGCTAAAGGCGCGGGCCAGGCAATGCTCTAGTAAACCTGAGGCCTATGCCCTTCACCAGCCCTGACTCTGTAAACCCGGATCAAACCTTAACAAAAAAATTCTAAACCAAAGACCTCTACACCCTAAGCCTCAACGCTACTCCCGAACAAGTGTTAACGAAAGAGTTATCTCAATGCAAATTCCGCTCCTGGAAGCGGGGCGAGTGCCGGATTCTGTGTGGGGCCCAGACACCCCCCGTTAATTTAGGCATACACCCTAAACCATACTGGGTTTAGGGTTTAGGGATTCCGTATTTAGGGCTTGGGATGGGAGTATATTCCTGGATTGGTCCTCTTGGGACCTCGGAACTTGAGAAAGTAGACACTGTAAAAAATGCTGTTAAGAGGGTTTAGGGTTTAGGGTATGGGGAATGTTCTTAACTAGGAGAGAATACTGGCCTTCACGTTTCGCTTCATAGTATGAAGTGTGCTCCATGTGATTTGCCATGGTGGACATGGATTTAGGCAATGCATATAGCCTTCTGGACCCTTCCAGTGTTATTGGCTTGTCAGAGAGTCAGAAAGGATGGATTTACTTCCTGCTGTATGGTCTAGAGTTTTGGGGTGGAGGTGGAGTTTTGTATAATGTGAACCAGAAACGCGTGGAAAAAGCGTAGGCACCTAAACCTCGTTTTTGTCATCCCAATACTTCGTGCACATTATTTTTGCGACTGGTGGTCTTTGAAAACCCTAGCTGCGTCCCAGGGATTACTGGCGGTTTAGGCTTTGATTCCTTGAAAGATCTCATCTGTTGTGTGAAAGTTATATGAGCTGTAGTCTAAACTCCTTAAAGGGGGTTATATAGGGGATTATATAGGGAATTGCTACAGGGGTTATTAAGGGGCTAAACTCTGAATCCTGAAGTGCTAAACCCTGAACCCCAAACCTCAAACCCTAAACCCAAACCCTAAAGCCTACCCTTGAGCCCTAAACCCTTTAACCGCTCCACACCTAAATGAGATAGAAACAGGAGCTTTTGTACGGGCTTGTAGGAATAATTGCCAGCATTACGTTCCTAGATTCCTTGTAGAAGCGAACAGTGGTATAGGTTGTCTAAAATAGACCTGAAATGACGTTGGTAAGTATGTAGGCCTCTACATTATGTGCAGCCTCGGGTCTCTGAAGAGGTGAAAGAGTCTAGGTTAACGGTTTAGGGTTTAGGGGTTAGGGTTTAGGGTGATGGTTCACTTCAGAATGTGCTATGGTTTATATCAAAGACTTTTTTAATCTTTCCAGCTGGGTCCCTTACCCTCTAAGCCCTATAAACCCTAGACCCAAGAAGCTTGCCAGAAATCCTCAAAGTTCCTCCGAACCCTAGGCCCCAAGCCAATGATGCGCTGCCGGGATGATGAACAACAAGCAAGCAAGGAAAGATTGCTTAAGGGTTTAGGGTTGAGGGTTTACTTATGGAATTCCGCACCTGTGAAGCAGTTGCAGTACAATAGAAGTACTCGTAATGAGACAAGGACAGGCTCTGGACATCAGTGACGACATATGGAGGGCCTCATTTTGTTGAGCTGTGCAGCCCAATATGTGAAAGCAGATGCAGGCAACCTGCCACAACCCAATCCTTTGCTTTAAACTCTAATGCCTACACCCAGAACTCTAAACCCTAAACCGTTTGAGCTTTGAACCCTAAGCTCTATACCCCAAACCCTAAACCCCAGCCCGCAAACCTTAAGCCCTAAACCCTAAACCCTGAACCCTAAACCCTGAACCCTGAACCCTAAACCCTAAACCCGGAACCCTAATCCCTAAACTGCGTGGTATCCCTTCGGCCATGTCGAAACAAAATCTGTGCCTCCGAGCAACCCTCCGCGATGAAGGGAAGAGCTGGGAACGGATGGGCACAACACTTCTCAACTCTACAGCCTCTTGGGAGGTTTAGGCTTCAGGCTTTGGGGTTTCAGGGTTTAGGGGTTTAGGGTTCTAGGGTTTATGGGTTTTAGGGTTTGGGGTTTTAGGGTTTAGGGTTTCAGGGTTTAGGGTTTCAGGGTTTAGGGTTCAGGATTCAGGGGTAGGGTTTAGAGGTTTAGGATGTAGGGTTTTGGTTCGAGGTTTAAGGGTACTTAGGGTTTGGGGGCTTGGGATTTCTTGTAATCGAAAAATCATCTTACCTGTCTTTGCCTTAAGCCCTAAACCATAAACCCTAAATAATCTTGGGTTGAGGATTTATCGCTGATCAGGGGCATTCCTGGGAAAGCATTACTGGTCATGAGCCATAATCCTCGTATAACCTTATCTAAGCCTAAAACCTAAACCCTAAACCAGCGTGGAATTTTTAGGGCCGCTAAACCCATCCCAGTTTTACCCTAAACCCTACGCCCTAAACCTTAGTAAGTTAGGTGTGGGAGTTTGGGACCTCGGTGGGCATGCGAGAGCTTGCTGCAATCCATGGCTACCTCTTCACCCATGCCGGAAACACCTGGAAGAGCAACCAGCAGACACTGGGTCTACCAGGGTTTAGGGGGTTTAGGGTTTGGGGTCTACCAGGGTTAGGTGAGGATTTTCAGGTTTGGAGGCCTGGCGGTTCCATCCTAAGCCGTAAACCTTAAACCCTAAACCCTATTTAGTTTCGGCCAAATGGAACCAGCTTGTGCTCCTAAACTCTAAACCTTAAACAGACGAAGGACGGCCCTGACGCTAAGTGCTGCTGGCGTCAAAGATGGTGGCTTGGTCGAAGTTCATAGGCGACTTCAAGCTTCGGGGGTTTTGGGTAGTATAGACCGAAAGCCAACTCGGGTTAGCATAGAATTAAAGATTAGGTTATATAGGGATTATATTGCGTATTCCATACTAACCACCAGTAAGAAAAAAGACACCCAAAGGTGAACCTCGGAAGCACCTAGTTTCTGGACACCGAGGTGATCTGGTTGAGTTCATGGGGGACTTTGAGCCAGTTGCAGGCGACGTTGCGCGTGCAGACACAGGCACGGACACAGGCGCAGACGGAGCCGCTGAGGCGGGTGAGCCCAGCAAGGATGACGTGGGCAAAGCCACCGAAGGTGGCGTGGACACAAGCGCTGACACGGACAAAGGCCTTGCGAAACCCAGGACACCCGTCAAGATGGATGCAAAGGTCTCCCCGGAAGCGTCCGAGGATACCACTGGCCCACCTGCCTCAAAGGAAGCTGCGGCTCCAGCACAGCCGCCACCTGTCCCTAAAGCTCAGATCAAGGTAACTCTGATAGATCACAAGAAGCGCAGCCGGGAATGTAGCGGCAGAGCTATTTTGGAAACTGGGTCATTTTGGGGCAAGTTTTGGAATACAGAAGAGTTTTCGAAATATGACAGAAAGCAAATGCTATCAGTGCATATCAATTCGATTGTTTCAGCTGAATTTGCGCTCAGGAAACCTCTGTTTGGGACTTTGGCGTGTCCGTGGGTATGGACCACCTGGCGACACTTCATGGCTACGCATCTGTGCCCTTGTTAGGTAAACACGGTACATCTTACGGAGCAGGAACTGACACCCCCTCCTGCTGATGTAACCCTCGCCCCATCTCCCCACCCAGTATTGAATATTCTAGATGATTCTAGATGTATTTGGTCATTCTGCTTCATCGCAGGAAAGTTTCAACACCATTGTGGGCGCAAGCATTGTTGGGCCATGTCATATAAACTATGGCCTAGGAAGTTCTTGGAAGTACAGAATTATAGCGTCCTACCTGGTGCAACTCCATTGACACTACTATCGAGAAGGATTCGCTCTTCCTAGAACCTACTGCTTAAGGGATAGTGGGGGAGTGGATGCTTTCAATATTCCTTATATAATCCTCATATAGCCGCATAGCCCCCTATAATAGTCCCTATATTCACGACCCCACTCCCCCTCAAGCACCAGTAAGAGAACGGCTGGTAGGAGGGAATCAGCCGCAGGTATTTTTGGGATGCCAGCATCAAGTACTGGTGGTACTACAACAAAGTAAATGGGGTTTAGGGTTGAGGGAGCACTATGATTGAAATATCTATCTTTATTCCTTGTGGTCACTGTGAGTAGATGGGGGCCTGAGGTTTGGCCTTATAGCAACCCCTAGATATTGTAATTGCAGCAGAACGATATCCCTCATCAGGGTCCCATTCAGTTCTGTTACAGGGTGGGTGCAGTATCCAACCTCAGGTATTCTGCTGAATCGTTCTATGTGGGATTATGATGCCCCTAGACTAAGTTGAGCTGTAGTCATGCTAACTACAACTTCACATATATATATATAGCAGAATCTTCAGGTAGGCTACTTGGAGAGTCGGGGAGGACTTAGTAAGTAGGTTGTGAATGAGGATGACCCGGGTTATTGTATGGTTTCTAATGGTTACAAGCATACTTACAAAATCCTCCTGACTCTGTAAGCAAGGTATTTTCCTATGCTGGCCAGACATGGGAGAGCAACCAGTATCCGACGCTGACTTTAGCCGAAGCAGGCGTCAAGGATGGGGAGATGGTCACTTGGTCGGGTTTAGGGTTCAGGGTATAGGGATTTATTTTGGAGAAAATCTGTAACCTAAAGCCTTGAACCCTGAACCCTATACTCCCTAAACCCTAATCCCTAATCCCTAATCCCGAAACCCTAATCCTTCACCCTAAACCCTAAACCCTAGGGCTTGCTGTGTACTTGTTTGGGCCTCAGGGTTCAGGGCTTCGGGTTGAGGATTCAGGGTTTAGGGTTGAGGATTCAGGGTTTAGGGTTTCGTGTTTAGGGTTTAGGGATTCAGGGTTTAGGGTTTTGGGTTTAGGGTTCAGGGTTCAGAGCTTCGGGCTAGTGATTTTGCAGTTACCCGCGAGATTCCAAAAGTTATCGTTGCCACACTCAAAATATGCCCCTTTCTTATGGAAAGATGGAACCTCCCATTCGCCCCTCTTGAGAGATGGTTGGTTTTGTTGGGCATCTTCGGGATCCTAACCCTGTGTTGACATCCCCCAGCTCTACAGCCTCGACCTGAGATGCTGGACCCTAGCCCCAGAACCTTACACGCCCAAACTCTAACCCTAAAAAGAACCCTAAGCCGTAAACCCTAAAGCCTTACAAAAAACGACTAAATCCTAAATCCGAAGCCCTAAACCCTAAACCTCAGTCCCTAAATAAAACCTAAACCCTCAATCCTAAATCCGAAGCCCTAAACCCTAAATCCCAAATCCGAATCCCTACACCCTAATCCCTAGACCTTAAATCCTAAATCCGAAGATCCAGGTCACCTACTCAGGGAACTTCGAGCCCGTCGCCGCCTGGCAATAAAGCGTTAAGCCGTGGGTTCCGTTTAGTGGTTCAGGGTTTGAGGACTAGAGTTTAGGGTTAAGGGTTTACATGAAGGTTCAGGGGGCTTAGTACTTTTAACCCTACTCATATTTCCATTAACTGGACTTCTCTAAGCCCTATAAGCCGAGTTATAAGTAATGACTTAGTCTCATGAACCCTCAGCCCCAAACCCTGAAGCCCGACACCCTAACCTAAAAAACCCTAAACCCTAAACCCTGAAGCCGTAAACCCTAAACCTGAAATTTGCTTACCAGTCCCATGAACCTTCAAGTAGGGTTTGAGATTCGGGCGTGTAGGGCCTGAGGCTTCGGACTAATATTTAGGGGTGAGCCTTCTAACGCCTAACCCCCACTAATACCTCGGTACCCCTATTCCTCACTGCCTGACGGGCCTTGGTATTGCCCAGAATCACTCTTTGTGCTGACGAGTATCCTTCTCAGCGCTGCGGCTGCCACACTCCTCCAAACAAACAGACACAGAACCCTGAACACATCATTTATGTAGTCCTCGTAGGCCCCTTTGATCTCAAGTAGGGTAGAGAGTATCAAGATAAAGTCATGAGTATGGTGTTCCCAGCTAGGCCAGCCGCTTCAAACCTTCCCTGAACCTGAAAGTACTTGTAGTAGGTACGCATCTCTCACGTAAACGCTACTCCACAACCTGAATCCTAAGCCCTGAGCCCTCGACCGTAAACCCTATCCCTAATCCCTGAGCCTTGAACCCTACCCAAAGTTCCTGGTAACTAAATGGGATGTAATTTGGGCCAGACACGCCTGTTTAGGAATCTATTAGGCGCCACATGTTTTATCCCATTGGGGTACTTGGACCCTTTGGGCCAAGCCTTAAACCTGGAGCCCGAAACCTGGCATGTCAGGTGTATCTTCACGTCACTCTGACGGACAAAGACGGGAACCGCCAGAGGTTCGGACCAGTTACGCCCTTCTCAGACGTCCAATGTAGTACTTAAAATGGACTTCATGGGGTTTTACAACATAGTACACGCAGTAAGAAGGAGCAAGTATAAGAATAGAATAGAATTAGCTATAGCACTCCTAGCCACCCAAAATGATAATGTAGACCCATGATAAATAAACTCTCTCAGTTTTAAAGGGCCTTAATATTAGGATCCCTACTACAACCCCTATTAGGGGAGTGGGTTAATTACTTAAGGGTCTGGGTTAGCAAAGAAAGCAAGGAGCACCAAAGATGAAGGGTCCAGGACCTTGAAGAGACTTCGCCACTAAAGGCTTGCTCAAGCGTAGGGGTCATATAGGGATTCTGCAGGGATTATGTAGGGATAATGGAAAAGAAAATGGAAAATACTCTGTTAAATATTATTTAGGGTTTAGGGTTTACTCCCGGAGGTTTGGGGACCCTGCACGGTAGCCCTAAACCCTAAAACCCAAACCCTAAACCCAAACTTTACCTCCCGGAGGTTCGGGAAAGCTTCCCCTCTGACATCCGTTTGGCTTTTTGGGGAGCTCCTGGGCCTTAGGACGATGGAGCAGCAGGCGGGACTGAACCCAAAGTTAGGGTTTTGTGGTTTAGGGTTTAGGGCACGAAATGGGATTCAGGTTTGAGGTTTTAGGGATAGAGCCGTTCGTTTCAATTTTTTCGGTTTGAGCCATGGGGATTTGAGTTTGGGGTTCGTGAATTGTCGTAGATCTATTTGGGTAGGGTTCGGCTTAAGCGCTCTTAACGCCAACATTTGGAACACCAAGCCCTGAACCCTACACCCCAACCAAAAAATCTGGTCCTATCCACCTGAGTCTTCAGCCTTTCCTACCCTAAACTCTCTAACCCCTCAACGTTTCAGAATGCCTGACGTGACTATGCAGGTCCCGCCAGGACGAGGGTTCACCTTCCGCAAGGACATCCGGGGTCTGGTGCCCAAAGCCTAAATGAGCTACATGTCAATATTAGCCTGATTAAGGGACCCTTAACAGTGGACATGGGGTTCCTCCTGTAGTTTAGTATAGTCCCTAATAATATATCCCTAATAACGAACCCATGTCCATTAAATTATGTAGCTAATATTATTGACGGTAGCTCAAATCCCAAATCCTCACCCCCAAAGAAGAGAGGCTGCGGGTGTAACTAGGTCACACCCTAAACCCTAAACCCTAAACCGGTCACATGGTTAAGCATGTCGGCTTGGATGAACTCCGCGCCTGAATTCCTGCTGAGTAAGTGCTCGGTCATTAGATTCTCAGAGTAGGCCGAGGTGGAGCATTTTCATGGGTTCCCCTGCTACCCCCCCATACTACCCCCGCCTTTATTCAGCTTAATCATAAGTCCTCCTAAATAGCTGAATTGGGCGGGACCATGCGGAACTGTCATAGGGGGACCTACGAGTATGTAAATCAGAAAAACGTTGCAGGTGCAAGGGCTGGACAGCGTAAACAGCCTGCATATCATCATTTGTCAGTATTAGGCATACCAGGCAAGGGACCATTGAGGTTGGGTATAGGGGTCCTTTTGGTAGTTTAGTACAGTTCCTAATGTACTCCCGAACAAGGACCCATGTCCATTAGTTTTATGGGACATACTGACTCTAGCTTGGATATTGCCCCCACTCAGTAACAGTTGGAGAATAATCAGTTTGTCATATAGTTGGTCGTTTCCCAAAATAGGGGACCCTAAAATGTAGACGCAAAAATGATAATCCTTGTTATAGGGACACCTAAAAAAGATATTCCTAATTTTGAGGAACCACTCTTTTACATGATTGGTAATAATATTTTTTAGACCCTAAACCCAGCTCATAGGACAAACCATCAGACCTCTCTCTCTCTCCCACTCAGTGAGCCTTAGAGGTTCAATGCGAAGCCTTACCCCTAAACCCAACTTGGAGGGTCAGGGGGACTTAGTGAGTAGCTCAATAAGGGGGATAATAAGGGTTACTATATGGGTTATTGGGGTTATTAACCTACTTACTAGGTCCCTGTGACCCCTCTCTTTCTGTTGGGTCTGGGTTTGTGGGTGGCATATAGGCATCTTTTGTTAAGCTGAGCTATAGGGCTACAAGAGGGAGCAGATAAGGAGATCACCAGCCTGTTTTCCAACACCTCGAACTCCGAATTTGGCTGTCCCTAAATCCAAAACTCTAAACTTTAAATCATAAACCACAAAAACCCTAAACTGCCAAACCAGCCCTAAACCCTAAACTCCAAAACCTTAAACTTAAAACCATAAACTCTAAACCCCAAACCCTAAACCCTAAACTGCTAAACCAGCCCCAAGCAATAAACTCCAAACCGTTTGGAACCAAACCCAGAGGTGTTTAAATCTAGGGTTACGGGCCCAAAGCGTGACAACATTATAGGAAACCAGAACAAAAAACTGAGGTTTAGGGTTTAGTCCCAAATTTCTGAACCCTTACGCCCAGCCCCTAGACCCTGGCCTGCCAGACTTTGGATGGCCTACTGCTTGGTTGGGAATGGGAGAATTGTTAGAGGGGACATGGGGACTCAAGATTTAGGGTGTAGGGTTCAACGATGGATGAGCTTTCCCTCTTTTTCGCTAAGCTCTGAACAAAAACAGTTTTGATGGTCTGTCCCATTCCCCAGCAAGCATGAGTAGATAGCAGTCTCTATAGTGGAGTTCCGATTATAATGCGGGTTCCTATGTAAATATATATATATACATATACACACATTGCATTTATACATTTCTCGATTTTGGGAACAGTGTACGTAACAGTAATTTAGGCCAAAACCCGATACAAGTATAACAGTCATAGTAGGAATAACAAGAGTAATAGTGAACATAATAGTATTCGAGAATGTTACCCTAAGCCCTAAACCCTTAATATAAGTCTAAACCCTGAACCCCGAACCATAAACCCTGAACCCTAAACCCTAAACCCTCAACCCCGAACCATAAGTTGAATGACATCCTCAGAAGGACGGTGGTCCCACGTGGAGGAGCCTCGGAGTAGTCAAGAAGTTTGTGGGTTGTGTTATTTTGAGAAAAAAAGGGGTTTTGGGTTTAGGGCTTAGGGCCTAGGGTTTTTAAGGTGGACCCTTATGTTAGGCATACCTGGACCCCGAAGGTTGTTGTGTTTTGAGAAAAAGGGTTTTGGGTATAGAGTTTAGGGCTTAAGGTTTAGGGTGGGCCCTTGTTTTAGATGTACCTGGACCCCGAAAGTATGTAGAATAACGGCCTTTGGTGGTCCATGCTTAGGGGTTTGGGGCCATCATTCCTAAACCCTAACCCTAAAGCCTGAATCCTAAAGCTTCAACCGTAAACCCTGAACCTTAAACCCTAAACTCTAAACCTCCAATCCTAAACCGTAGACCCCGAACCTTCAACCCTAAACCCCTAAACCTTGGCAGAAGAGAAGAGAGCCATGCTGAATTCCCCACTCCAGGGTTTAAGGTTGAGGCTCAACTGGGCAAATTATTGTGCCACAGGTGATAGTCTGTATTGGGAATAGTCTTAACATGGCTTTACTTCAGTTTTTGGAATTAACAGAGTTTGCCCAGATTCTTGAAGGTCCAGGTAATAACTTGTATAGCCTACTTGTAATTCAGATTAAAACCCAGTTTAAAGCCTCCTAGTTCCCTAATACAGTTGTAAGGTGAGTATATCACAAATTCCCTGAACCCTAAACCCTAAACCCTAAAAGGAATATACCCACGATTAGCTGAGGAGTAGACAGTACCCCAACCTCATGCTTGCAGCCACGGCTGTGAAGAGCGGGGACCACGTCGAATTTGCGGTCGAGCCTCCAGAGAAAGCTGAGGAGGATTGAGTTTGGAGGTTTAGGGGTTGTTTCGGGTTTAGGATTAAGTATGGGGTAGAAGGTTTTGGGTTGAGTTTTAGTTACGGGTCTGGGAAAGCGTGCGCTCACTCCCAATACAGGGTTTTCTAACTCGACAAAGTTTAAAAACAGGAGAATTGACGGTAGAGGTCCTGAGCCCCTCCCTAAACCCTCAACCCTGCCTGGATCATATCCTGTAAATTCACTTGCAGGGCTTTGCCATCATTACCACAAAGTGCTAGGAAATTGAGGGCGCATGACGGCCATTCTGTATTAGGGCTTAGGGTGTAAGGCTTCCAGATTTCTAGTTTAGGGTTTAGGGTTTCCAGATTTGCAGTAGGGCTGTTTTATGCTCACGACGCTCATGTCAGTATGTCTTGCTTGACATGACACTTTTTTTTAGGGTTCAGGGCCTAGGGTTTATGGTTTACTGGTTTACGGTTTAGGGGTTTCGGGTTTGGGGCTTTAGGGTTTCGGGTTAGCCCGAACCCTAAGCGGTGCATGCACGAATGTGGAGAGAGTGCTGAGTGCTTCGTATCCCTCACTGCAGACTGAGCCAGCAGCTGCGATGGCCTGGTAGTTTCTCAAAACGCCTTGCTCCCCCCAGAAATAGAAATCATGCATAGATGAGGGGTTTCCATATGAGCTAGAGTCTAAATAAACTCCACAAAGGGTTACATAGGGGATTATATAGGGGTGCATTATAGGGCTTCATTAAGGGGGATGCTAGGCGTTTCGATTATAGGTCAGAATATGTAATGTAATGTAAAAATCAACAAAACAAAAATCAAACTCTAAATCACAAAGCCCGCATCTTCGGAAACTCCCACCAGCTCTGTGCAAACGTACAAAGCTGAGAAGCCGTTGTTGACCCACGAGCGGAACGCTTCGGGTACTTGGCTGCTTGCAAAAGCAAGACGACTCCATCAAAAGAGCCATCAAATCCCATGACCGTCATTGTTTTTTGCCAGTAGGGCTTGCGTTTGTGCTTGTGGTGGCATTTTGGTAGTCGCAGCGGTGGTGAACGGTGGTGGTCGGAATGTTCCTGAGAACCAGAAAAACAAAGTTGTAAATGCCAGCAATGTTATGGGGGAATAGCAGGCATTATCGTGAGAAGGGCATAGTTAGCAGCAACAGCAGCAGTAGCAGCAGCAGTAGCGGGCAGCAGCAGGAAGCTTAGTAAGTATGAACATAGACGCAGACACGACAACGAAGATGATACCGTATCGGAGAGTTTCTCAACGAAGCTCCTATTTAATTTTGTCACAAGGGCCCCAGAATTCCTGTACAATGCCTATAGAATCCTAATACAGTTCTCTTATATTCCTTACATATTCTTATATTTCCTCGTCCATCCCTAGGGTCCCACTCCTTAAATACCCAGACCCTAGGCCCAACACCCCAAACTCTACAAACGAAACCCTAAGCCGCGAAGCGTATACCCTAAACTCTAATCTCTTACCATGCCACTGGGGGTCACTGGGCACCCCGGTTTAGGATTTAGATTCGGGTCTGAGGGTTCCGGTCGATCTGTCAGTCGAACAGGGGGCGGCCTCCAGTGTATGGCTTAAGGAAGGCAGTCGCGCGGTTGATCACCTCCCCCCATCTAGGGTTTAGGGGAGAAAATGCAATGTTAGGAAGGTGGCGGCACCCAAACAGGGACCCTGACTTAGCCCACTTAGTGACGACTTACTGGGTCTACGTTAGAGATTCGTTTTTTTTTTTTTCGGCGTGTGCAGAACGGGCTCTTTTGTCCGCCTAGGCCCTTAGACCGCCCCTGTTGAACCCATCTTGTTTCCCTGGCGATACGCCAACAAATCTTCCCCAACAGACGCAACTGCTCTGTGTGCGTGTGTGTTTCCCTACCCTTCCCCTAACCATCCCCCGGCCCTTTCTTGCTGACTTCCTAGCCCAGTTTGGCTAGTTCTTCTTGTTTCAACGTTCACCAACCCCTTGCGGAGGGGGTGGGCTCCGTCAAACACCTATAACACCCATATAAACGCCTATCCTAGAACGTACTCACGTGTCACTACCCATGAATCTCTGAGTATCCCCTACTACCGTTGGTACCCAAGACCTTTATTCTCTCCCTTCGTGCCCCTACAGTACTTGTGCGTGGCAGGGCTCAGCTCCAACAGCTTAAGGATAACCTTGCCCAAAGTGGCTCGGATACACCATGCTGTCGAATCTGTGTGTGAAGCTGGTGGACAGGACTGCATCAGCCAGCGGGATCTTTTCTTGTTTTCTTACATGGAACACCAAGTGGGGAGTATCACGGGCGGTGTACTTGAAAATGCTTGAATAACTACCAATATCAACCTTGTACCTTGTATCATTATAGGATGATGGACTGCAAGACCCTGTTCTATTCACTTTACTTTAGCCACTGCTATATACTTTCCCCATGAGATTAAGAATCACCCATGATGGCGCGCATGCATTCCCATGTATTATCGTACCTACACAGCTGAAAACAACCAACAACGTCAAAACCATCGGCACGAAACCTCCAAACCTTAAATCCGTAAAGCTGTTCCTGGAGAGCCAGGCGGGTGTAGTACGTAATAGAATCCCCATGTACTCCCTCCATGATACATTCCTTCATTCCCTCGATCCCCCAGTAAGGTACTCTAGAAGCCATAAAACAACGGTTCCCAGCTATCCTCATTGTTAACCTACTTGCCACGTCCGCCTGACTCTCCAAGTACACCCTGCGCAGTTCTCTTTAGGGTTTTGAGAAACTTCCAAACGGAGGTGTATGAAGGTAAGCACCCCTTTATGGAGCCCCTCTCAAAGAAGTTGTAGCATTGTGGGGCTTGTGGCTTCAAACGCCTGGTTCGGCAATGCATTAATACCCAAACCTTGGATACTGCCCCCCCTGCATCAACAGCTGGTGAGTACGTATACTACAACTGCATAGCCCTTGTAGTTACCCCTACTATAGACTGTTAATTAAGGGGTACCCTAAACCCTAAA